GAACGAGCGGGCAGAGCGGCCCGACGCCGCGGCCCCGAGCCCGTCCGGCCTCTGCCGGCCTCTCCCTGGCCACCCCTTCCACTGCTGGGAGCGTTAGGAGGGCTAATAGGAAGCTAGGCCAGTGATGAAAGAGCAGCAAAAACACGTTAAAAAAAAGAGCAAATTGTTCAGGTGATTGCCATCTGAGTCTCTTCCTTGAGTCTTAGGAATGTAACCAAAACCCAGAAGCAGGTACAGAGGCTTTGATTTAGATAAAATCATTTGACTTAGTAAAATGCATAAGGTCATATGTATTGGTGAGCTGTGAGATTACACTGATCCAGTGCCTCAGTAAATGATTAAGGCATACTTTTAAATGAGCCCAATGAGAGGACTCAGCCTGAAATTTCATATTTCTTTGCAAACCCTGTTTCTTTTTTAATTGCTCAAGCCACTGCATCTTACAATATCGATGTTTCATAAATGCAGTTTTACTGTTTGTTTTTCTGTTGGGATGTATTGTAAGAAGTTCTGTATCTCCTAACATCCTTAAGTCTCTTTTCAGTTGTTTGTCATGGTTTAAGGTCAGGGCTGCCCCTAGGCCTGTAACAAACACTCTCTGTTAATCCCTCTCCCCCCGCAAAGGGGAAGAGAAAGGAAATAAGGGAGAGAGACTTATAGATTAGAAAAGGAAAACAGCTTTAATGAAAACTAATAAAAATAATAAAATGGAATACATACAAACATATAAAAAACAGTATCAAACCCAACTCCCCCCCCTGGTGGCAGTATGTCACTGTCACCCCCCTGATGCTGGGGAGCAGCCCCCAGGGAAAGGTCCCAGGCTGGACTCAGCAGCAGACTGCGATTGGGTGCAGGAGCTGGATCCTGGAACTCGGTTCAGGAACACACAGCTCGGGATCAAAGGCAGGATGGACAGAGTCCTCCTTGGATGCTGGCCACTGCTTGACCCTCATGACCCTTCGGCCATGGTCCTTCAGCCTTATACTGAACATGTGGGATATAGGGGTGGAATACCCCATTGGTCAGTTTAGGGGCACTTGTCCTGTCCGCTCCTCCCCACAGGTGTGGTTTGTACTCTCTGTGCCCCCAGTGTGGTACACAGGATGTAGCAGTGCCCTTGGGCTGCACACCAGTCCTTGGTAGTAACTCTAAACATGGAGTGTTGTCACTGCTAGACGCAGATGCTGTCTGCAAAAATATGCTGCTAACTTCAGACAATGCAGTTAGAAGAAGAAAGAAGTTAGCCTTCTTTCCTCTGTATTCTTGGTTATTGCTTTCTTTTATACAGGGCTTGGTCTACAGTAAGACTTCTTATATCTCCAAGCTTGACTACTTTAGGAATCTTTGATAAGGGATCTTTCTGAAAGGTTTGGGAAATTTAAGTACTTAATATTCTCTAGATCATATTTCCTGACTATTCAGAAAATTCTGTTAGAACTGTTTGGCATGACTTGTCTGAATGAAAAGGAAAAAAAAAATCTGAGGGTTATGAATCTGTGTTTGCTCATTTTGCTCATTTACTTTTCTACAAGAGTAGTAAGACTTTATTAGTTTGTTGTTTCTCAGGTGCTATCAGATTTTTTGTAGGATATTTGATTTACTCTGTTCTCATGTGACAAATTATTACTGAAACATTTTATAGTCAAACACTTTTAAAGTTCTTTAAAAGTGGTAATGTATGTTAAAACTATAAATATACAATACTACATGTTCAGTGTTACCAGTACAGAATCATAGAATGGTTTGGGTTGGAAAGGACCTTAAAAGATCATCTAGTTCCAACCCCCTTGCCATGGGCAGGGACACCTTCCACTAGAAGAGGCTGCTCAAAGCCCCATCCAGCCTGGTCTTAAACACCTCCAGTGATGGAGTATCCACAACTTCCCTGGGCAACCTGTTCCCTCACCACCCTCACAGTGAAGAACTTCATTACATCTAATATAAATCTACCCTCTTCCAGTTTGAAGCCATTGTGCCTCATCCTACTACAAGCCCTTGTAAAAATCCCTCCCCAGCTTTCTTGTAGGATTTCTTCAGATAATGGAAAGCTGGAGTAAGGTCTGCCTGGAGCCTTCTCTGCTCCAGGCTGAACAACCCCAGCACTCTCAGCCTGGCCTCACAGCAGAGAGTTTCCAGCCCTCACATCATCGTTGTGGCCTCCTCTGGCCCTGCTTCCACAGGCTCATGTAATTCTTGTACTGGGGGCTCCAGAACTGAACACAGTTCTCCTAGTGGGGTCTCAGGAGGCAGAGTGGGGGGGGGAGAATCACCTACCTCGACCTGCTGGCCATGCTTCTTTCAATGCAGCTCAGCATAGGGTTGGCTTTCTGGGCTGCACTTGCACATCTCTTATTCACATTTGAATCTGAGGGTTCCTCAGATATATCCCTGTCGTGGGAAGAACATGAAAATAATATTTTCCTGGCATTGTGGGTGGCTTTATTTTGTATATAACAGAATGTAGTGAAGTTGAACAGTGATTTTGTGGCTGGCAGAGGAATACATTTTCAGAACCAGTTCTTTAAAAAAGGAAGGAATTTGATGACAGCTAACAACTTGTAAGGCCGCTGAGTTACTGCTTTAGATGGTGCTTTCAAAGGGAGCATGTTTATTGTACATAAACCCCTTTCGCTATAGCTATTTATAAACAGATACCAATGTAAATGTCAATTTAAACTGATGAAGAAACAATAAAATGCTGCAACATTTTGTTTTGTTTAAGAGCGACCCCTACCAGAGTTATCCAGCATCCCTCAGCAAGTGAGACCATTAACTACGATGTTAAGGCTTTTGGATCCTCTCTACCTGTTAAGGTTATGGAAGCCCTGAAGAAGGCTGATGGTAAGAACTGATTTCATCTGTTATTTTTCTCATGAAAATTGACAGGTGAGAGAAGCACTAAGCTGTTGATGGTGCCTAAATGCTGAGTTTACATTGGAAACTGAAATGTGCCTCGGTTTGAGTCTGCCTTGGTCAGTTATGCCATATAATTGTGTGGACACTCCCGTGGGTATCGGTGCATGTAAATTCCTTTCAGGTGCTGTATTCACCAACATGTTGTAAAATCCAAGGCTATAAAGAAACCAAATAGTTGTTTCTCAGTAACTTTTGCTTACTAATTCTTTCTCACCTTTTTCACTTGTTTTGATTCTGTTGTGTCCTAGAGTGGATGCTCTAATTTATATTTTTTTTTTAACCCATACTTGTTATCACTCCTCAAAGCCCCAGTGATACAAAACTTGACCTGCGTCAAAGAAATCAATCTCCTAAACAGTTTTCCTCCATGGATAAGTTTTTCTTTTTTGTAGTAGCTGTAAGAGAAACCAAAAATGTATATCTTAAAAGTAATTTTAAAAATTGCTGACCAATTTACAAAGCTATTATACTCTACTGCAAACTGATGGAAGTAGCTTCTAGGATTGTCTTGTCTTTCACTTTCAAAAGCTGAGCGTTTGTCAAATGGATTTTTAAACTACATGTAGTAATATAGGATCTTAAATACATTTAAATTCTAACATGGAATTTAGTTTAATAGAAAATATATTTCTTATTTTAAAGTGAGAATAAAAATTTATTGGTTTTAAGGTTACTCTACAGTGTTTTAAAAATCTGAATGCTTTCAAAAAATTACTTTTATGTAGCTAATGACCAGCTGAGCGTTCAAGTGGATGAAAGTGGATGGGCCTGGCTAGTTCACAAGGAGCAACTAATTATTTGGAAGATTGGTCAGTCTCCAGTAGCTAAGGTAACTGAAAAATAAAGGTGGAAAAAAGTCTGTATTTTATATTTGTTGAACAAGTTATTCAGTTGTGGGTGGGTTGTTTTTTTTTTTTTTTAAAGCAACAGTTTATAAGTTGGAGTTTGGCTTCCCCCACAAGCAGCAGGGTTGATAGGAAGTCATACTAACAATGGTAACTGAAACTCAAGCTTTTGAGGGAGCTTAACATTTTTATATTCCTCTCTTTATTTTTAATTGTGATCTTAACACTGGGGTTGATTCTTTGCATTTTAATAGGTATATCTCCTGTGTTAGGTAATCTTGATAAAGCGTGGTTCCCTTACAGTGTCTGGGCTAGTTGAAAATTAATTTTTAGCAGGGTCAAAAAGTCTAAACACCTTACAGCAGAGGAATAAATTCTTCCAGTCTCATTTATTATGGTATCTTTTTCTTCCTTACAGTTATCTCTGTGCAAGGAACTGCAGCTGCCACCCAGTGACTTCCAGTGGAGTTCCAGTTTAGCAGCTATATCTTGTCTCAGTTCTTCAGGTGAAGCACCTTCTCTGCAGGTGATCAACTTTTACATTTTAGTGTTTAAAAATACTTTCAGAGTAACTTTGAACGTGTACTGTTCTACCAGGTGCTTATTTGAAAACTGCTTTTGGTGGTGTACTGTCTATTGAAAAGGTCAGGACTGACAGTTTGCAATAAATATGTTTGAAATAAAATTCTGCTTGTCTTTCCAAATTACACCATTTAGATGTTACAGGATCAGATTCAATAGTAGTTTTCCTAAGGATTACCTGTTGTGCTTTTGTAACAAACAAAAAAACAAAGTAAAGTAATAAGTATTGTATTAAAAAACACCAAGGCACTCAAATATTTGGTCTAAACAGGTGCAGTTTAAATGCATGCTAGCTGGAAAAGTTTAGCTGTGGTTTAATTCTGAATACAGGTGGATGAGAAACAAATCCAGCTTCCTCCAGCCTTTCTGGTTCCTTCCACCAGCATCCCCCCCTTGCCTGGTCTTTATAAGTAAGCTGGCACTGGGCAAGCAGATGATTTAATCTATCTCGGTTGATTACTTTCCTGTTTGTAACATACTGTGCTAGAGGGTGAGGTTTGAAGATCAATTAAGTTTTCTGAAAAGATGTTAATGTGTCTGTTTCATAAAGAAAAGAAGCTCTCATGTTCAGCTTGGGTGTGGTTTTCAGTTAATATATGGGGTGCTCTAATAAAACTGGATAAACTTTGTCTTTGGAAGGAAGAAGCTGCTCAGACTGTGCAATATTATCTTTTCTTTTGACTTGTTACTGTCTTACACTTCCAGATGATGGAAAGCAATCTTGTTATCCTGTGATTTGCTCATGAAACTCTAAATGGTCTATGACTTAGTCATACCCAGAGGTTTAAGAGGAAGTAATATACCTAAACCAAGATATTTTTTTTTATTTCACCTCTTTTTGTCCTGCGAGCTGTGTATGGATACTATGATTTTATGGAGTGATGTAGAAATATTAGTGGTAGAAAATATTTCACTAAAATGAAGATTATTGAATAATGATCAGGAATCAAAGGATGGTGCACTCTGTGGTGATTTTAAAAAAAAAAAAATTGTTATGATGGTCATTAGCCAACTGCTTTCTTTGTGAAGATTCATGTGTAGTCAAAAATAGTTAAAGAACTCCAAAGAGCTCAATAACAGCTCTCACCTGCACTTCTGTTGTTTTGTGATTGGTTTTGTTTGGGGTTGGTTTTTTTTTTCAACAACCAGTAGATAGGTACACTGCTTTCTGTCTAAATCTCTACCTGAACACAGTCTCTTGTGTAATGCTCTGGATGTGAAGTCTGAATGATTTTCCTGAGTCAGAAGCCCTGATCCAGGCACAGTACGGGCTTAGGTCTTTATGAAGTGAAGAGTCACCATGTGATTTGATATTTCTCTTAGTGACACTAGAACGGTTTCTTTGTCAAATTATAGTCTACATTTTAAGTCTTCCATAGCAGCTTTTAACTCTTGGCATCTGGAGTTCTCCACAGGCTGTTTTCTTTCTCATAAGTTTTGTTTGAGTTTTACTAGCAGGCTCTGAATTATCAGGAGAAAGAACCGGTAGGAAATATTGTTTTTAAAAAAAAGAGTATGACATTCTGTACACGTGTTAAGTCGTGGTACAGAATTGTTTTGCTATTCAGTTCTAGGTTTGTCAATGTGCATCCATATGTATTTACTCCTTTGTTGTGTGTTTGTCACCCAAAATCTGGATATGTAAAACGATGTGTTTTAGTTAAAGCTGCAGTCTGATTGTTATTCTTTTGCATGTTCTGTTAATTATTTTCTCACTTCAAGTCTCTGGCCATAATGGTTGCTACCAGTGAAGGTTCCGTGCGCTACTGGCCCAACCTTGCACATGAAGGTTCCTACATAGAGACTTTCACAGACTTCGGAGGCTCTCTGTGCAGTTTTTTAACAGCAGTAAAGGTACTAGTACAGTATGATTTATATTCAAATACTGCTTTAATTCCAAATTTAGAAATTAAAAAGCATGCTCTGCATTGTCAGTCCTAAATCTCCAATAAGTGTTGCAAAAGCAAACTATCAAACATTCTGATGAGTGATTTCAGAGGTTGTTGATGAGTATGATCTTAAGTAGCAGAGATGACAGGTAGTCATAAATAATAGTCAGGGCAGCATGCAGGATTCAGCTACAAGGTTGACAGGATTGGTTTGGTACCTTAGCTTCCTGAGCTGAATGTCTGTTACTGGCCAGAGCTCATTTTTCATTTGTGTTTCGTTCAAGGAAACACAAACACAGACTGCTCTGTGCTGGGATCCAGCAGGTAGTGTGTGGGGACTCGCAGAAGGTCACTTCAGAAGCAGCCTGCTGGTGCTAATTTAAGTGCTAATGTGGATGCACCCATGAGGACAGGCAGGAGAGGTCTCTCACAAGCCTCTGCCTCCTAAAGGAGGTGTATGAGCAATTACAGTGGAGTGAGTATTTTCCACAATACTGAAGACTTTTCACACTTTTCTAGTGTAAAAGTAACACTGTGTTTCATCATTGGATTCCAAGGATTAGATGAAATTTTAGCTCTGTTATTAAACTGGAGTTTCACTGATAAAAATGCCACGCCACAGTAAGAAAATGTGTCTTTGCCAGTGCTAAGTACCAGTCAGCTGTCTGACTTTTTTTTTACATAGCTGGATAGAAGGTTTGTTATGCAGTCCATTTAGTGTCCTGTAGGATAGGATGCTATTTAAATATTTATATATATATATATGTATATACTTTGCTTAATAACACTTCAAGTTTTAAATGCACACATGGAAGTTGAATGTAATTTCATTTGCAATTCAACATATGAATGTTACATATCGTGCCTGTAGAGATGGATTAAATATAGAGTTTAAATTTAGAAAAGTATAGTGTGAGCTGTATATTGTACTGATTCAAGAATAGAGACTAATGTGGTAAATTTGTTTTTCTCTCTTTATGTGGTAAATGCTTTCGTTTAAAAAAAATAAGTTTGTTAGCTCTCAGGTACTATGGATGCTTTGTGTCTTGTTCTTGTTTAGTGATTAATTTTATGAGCTGACATAAAGAATTTTATCTGACAATGTTATTGTTTCAGGAATGCAATTTTTATTTTTTAATAGAGTTACTTCTTCTTTTTGTTAGGGAGGAAGTTTTATCTTATCATCTTCCAGAGGCCAGCTCGTTCGATTGATACCAGATAATTCTGGCAAGATCCATCAGCATGCCCTGCCACAGGGTCAGGGCATGTTTTCTGGAATTGGTAGAAAGGTTTCTTCTCTTCTGGGTATATTGTCTCCTGGAAATGGCGCTGTGGTAAGCTTGAAAAAGATTAATATAGTAGTCTGCTTTAATTTTTCTCTAATTTCTACCCTCAGTGTTTAAGAAAGGAAAAAGAGAAGCCTGTGTAAGGATGAATGATGATGATGAAAAAAGAAAACTAAACCAATATTCAACTAATTTTTGTTACTTAATTCTTTGAAATTTGAAGGATAGACAGAAACCAAATAAATCTGTATGTGTTGTAAAGGAGAATGCTGACTTTATTCAGATCTGAAGAGCCCTTAATGTAGTAATACTTCCTCAAGAGTACACAATGATTCAGAGTCCTGCCTCTTTCTAGTGACACTCTGATTACTACTTGAAGAAACTGAACAGGAAACTGTAATTTTACTTTCTTGATTTAGGATTGCCGGGGTTGGTGATTGGGTTGAGCTTTGTCAATGAACTCTATAGAAGTTGGAAGTATGAGAAGCATACTCACTATAGATGATCTTGTATCTATAAAATAAGACTTCTCTTGGAAGTTCTCTTAATACTCTTATCATGTAATGTAATTTGTGCAGGAGGTTGCCCAAGGAAGTGACCAGGTTTTTTTGTTTTGTTTTGTGGACGAAGGTTGGTGTAGATTATTGTATCCAAATATTATGGCTGTGCTTTAACTTTTTAATTTTTTTCCTTTTTTAAATGCAGATTTCTAGTGTTCTTTGGGATAAGGAGAGGTCAAGTTTTTATATGCTAACGAGTTCGAGTCTTAACAAATGGGAGATTGATGATTCATCAGAACGTTACATTCTCAGCTGGGATATAAACAGGATCCTGAAAGAACATATTACAGATGCAATTTGGGTAAGAGCCAGCTCACCTGGAAAGGGTTTGTTTGTTTAATTAATACTCTATTTATGTATGTATGTCAGATGTCTATTTATGTATATAAATCAGATGCATTGTTTTTAGGGTTCTGAAAGTAACTATGAAGATATTAAAGGAGGAGTAAATATACAATACATGGATTTGCAACAGAATCGGTAAGGGAGTACGCTGGCATCTGGTAAAACATTAATGAGATAAATGTGTTCTATTTTCTTGCAAAAACCTTTTTGTAAAAAAAGAGTAATTGCAATTAAATTTTACTTGAGTGCCACTGTCGATAAAATAAGCATGTCGTATTAGATAACTAGGTTACCCAATACTTCATGCTGTCATTATCTCTTTAGTGTTACAAATTCTTTACCTAAGAATAATTTCTTTCACTGTTTTAGTGCCATTTTATCAGATCTGGGTATTTGTTTGCTGTTATTACAAAGACAGCAAGTAAGCTTGTTCCAGCAAATACAGAGAATTGACTATCTCATGTATTTAATTTAATTGCTTAAAATCACAACTACCTTGATTCAGTTTTGTGCTCCAATATGAATAGTGTTAATAAAACAACCTGAAAGAACAAACAGTATAGTCTTTCTTTCTAAAAAAAGAAAAGGGAAAATATTGACTTGTGATTGTAATTAAATATCTGGTTTTGTGAGTGGTAGAGCTTGAGCAAGTAAAATATGTAATAATCATCTCTCAATGGTGTGATCTCTGTTTTTGACTAGACATGGGCTGGTGATACTTGCTGCAGCATGGCATCCTGGAGATCGTCCATGTCTTGTCTACTACACTCTGATAACAGTAGAAGATAGAGGCTACCAGATGTCTGATGATGTTGTTGTGGAGGTCACACAGTATAATCCATCTTTTCAGGTATGAAAATGAAGGCTCTGAAACTGAGACAGCAGTGTTTCAAAATATTCCTGTACATAAATCAGCCAGAAGTGTTTTGTATAAAGAAAAATCAAATTTTCCATCTCAAAGTTGTTTGTGGAACTATGTATCGATAGTATTCTGAGGAAAATGTGTACTAGCATCTTTTAATGTTTATTAGTACCTGTATGTAAAGCTTAGGCTTTACATTTTCAAGTATAAAGCTTTAAAAGCCTCAAAAATAGAATTCCAAACATCTGATTATTACTGGTTTGGTTTCAGTTTTATCCTGCCTGTAAAAGTTTGTAGAGAGTAATTTGGCAGCATACTCATGCAATCTGTTTAGAACACATTGTTGAGACTCTTGTAGCAGGACAAGGAATTCAGAAAGCTGTACTTTGGTCCTTGGGAGACAGTTGGCTTGCTGGGAGGGGAGGACACACTGGTTGTCCTTGGTTTACCCTGATTATGCTATCTCTCCTGGAAGCATAAACTCTGCCTTTAACTTTATATGGTAAACGTCTTCCACTCTTCCCTGCCTGTAATAGCATCTTAAAATTGAATCTTAAGATGAAAGGAGAATGGAAAGTCTGTAGAGTAATTGATCTCTTTGCTTTCTCTTCATGTGAAATTAGCAAGAATTCAATATATATCAAAGGGAAAAAAAAGAATCTTAAGCTTTAGGGAAAATTAAAAGTGGGTTTATTTGGGTTTTTAAGTTGTATCTGTTTCTTCTTGTTAAAAATTAAAACAAACTCAGGCAACTCAGATCAATGTTTAAAATCTTAGATGTTTGTTTAAGGTTGTGATTATATATGTGCTATTGTTCATATATGACACTTGCAGTCAGAAGAGGAGGTGTTGTGCTGTCTGCTCGTCCCAGACTACTTCAGCCATGCTGCTTACCTCTATAAGGAAGATGAAGTGTTTGCTTGTTCCACTGGAACTGGAAGAATTTCATTACCACAGGAGAAAATCATATTTGGCATACAAGGTAGTGTGCCGGGGTGGCAGAGGGATCACATTTCATTGATACTTTCTGATGGGGTGTTTGTACAGCATTTAGATTTCTCAAAGAGCAGAATCATGTTTACGCTTCTTTCTCTCTTCATTAAGTCTTTGAAGTTGCAAGTTTCTCATGGGTGTGTGGAGAAACCACTGATGTGACATCCAGTACTGTTATTGCTTACTCCACCCTGTTGCAGGTGAAAATTAAATAGACCTCCACTTTTGATATATGAAATGGTGGAGGGGGGGGTTGTAGGATTTTTTGCCTTTTTAAAAAAGTATTTTCTTCCAATGTTCATTGTGGATTTTTTTTTTAATTGAAGCTAACTTTTGTATCGAGACTTAGAGTAAAATTCATACTAGGTGCCTGTGTCACGTGTCTCTGTGTCATCCTGGATCTTCAGAGGTATTTTCAAGTAGGACACATGCATCAATCCTTAGGCTAAACCACCTGAATCTTGATTTATTTTTTTTCCTTTTTTTTTTTTTTTTAAACTTGCAGTATCTGGGAGTCTTGAGTGGCAAATAGAATCCACAATTTCTGTAAGTCAGGTGCAGTTGTGAATTACTGTTGGTTGGTTCATGGCAAAATTTAATAATTATCTATGAAACTGTTGCAATTTGTTCTTAAAGTGGCATTTAGGTGCTTGGTTTGTTTTTTTTCCTCCCCCTCTTCCCTTATTTTAGGAGATAGCATCTTAGGAGCAGGGTCCTGTACTAGCCTCCCCATCTTCTTTGCCAAAAAAAGTGGACTTGTCACCATCTTGTCCAGGGAAAGCGTCTCTGTGCTTCCTGAAGACCTTGAAGATTCTCTGTCCTCTTCTATTGCTGGACCAAGAAGTGAGGTAATGGTGATTTGGTTGGCTGTTTGAAAACTTAGGGTAGAAATAAAATGTTTTTCTGGCAGTTTTGAATTTTCACTGTGGAAATCCTGGTTTGTTTGACTTTTAAAGTTGGTGATTTTTTGGGGTTTTGTTTCTTTTCTTTTTTTTTTCCAAATAGAGACTCAAACACTTGTAATAAAGGTGGTTTTCAAAGAATTTTAAATCTACCAGTTTGGGTAACTTTTTTTGTTTTTCTTTTCAAGTTGAGATTTCTATGAAATTCATATTTTTATTTCACATAGATATTAGTCTATGCCACTAGGCCTGATGTAACACTACTGCAGAAACTCAGACTTTGTTCTCACTTTTTGACCAAGATGGTTTCTTCAGTCTTCCGTGTCTGTTCCCTCTTGCATATAAGAGACACTTTCTTCCTTATAATTCTGTGAAAAGCTTGGAGGCTAAGCTGAGAAGGGCTATAGAGTGGCTGGATATTATTTCTGCTCTCATGTGTGTATATATATGTCTTTTTTAATTAATATTTTCTTATTAAAATATTGTAAATTTTTTTTATTGCTATTTTGTACAGTGTGCATTAAGCTCTTATTTACCATCAGACATGTTTTGTTTAAAATGTGTATTTCCTGATGATGTCTCTGGAGTGGGAGGGAAGAAGTTGTTAAAATATACATTAGAGAATATTTCTATGGAGTAATAGTGAGTTTCAATCCTTACTCCAATTTAATCACCTTTTAAATCAGTTATTATTAACTGGTATTTTAGTGGGACACCTTTGTGGTGATCGCTCAGATGGAACTATATTTTTCTTATGAACTAATTTTTAGTTAGATTTGTCTGCACTTTGTCACAGATGACTGTTTTACTTAAATAGGTTGTCACAGAACCCTGGTATAGGATGCTGCCACTTTGTAATGAGAGTTTGTAGAGGAGCACTTCCCCTTTAAATCACCTGCCTGAACAAATGAACAAAAAAGTTAATTTAAGGTTCAGTTTGATGGCATGGTCACTACATTACTTGCTACAAGGCAGGTTAGTTAGAGAAAGCAATAGGATTGTAATATTGATATATATAAAATATATTTTTATATGAGATTAAAAGAAACAATGTGATTACCATAAGGTGATTTGGACTTTGGGCTGGGCTGATTGACATGGGGATGAGCAATGAGAAAGGCAGGGTGGAGGCTAAGGGTGACCCTCCTGTCAAGTAACTGGAGTTTCAGGCTGGACCCCTTTGCTTTCTGAACTCTTCACAAAGAGCATAGGTGTGGCCGGATCCAACGTTACACCTGGCCAATGGTTTATGACTAAGAGTATTAGGGAAGCTGGGGATATTAAAGGTAAAGGAAATCCTCCTGTTGGGTCACGAGGTTCAGAATAGACCCCCTTTCCCTCCAGACTCCTTCAGAGAATAAGGTGAGGTCTACCCCTTGTCCCAGAGTTGATCCATGGTTTATGCCTGGGGATTTTGGGACTTCAGTGGAGTGTTTGGTGTAACACTGTTTTTGAGATAAGAGACAGTAGCAACTTGAGTATGTCACCAATAATGTAGTAACTTACAAACTAACAATACTTACAGTATACTATCCAGTGGATGGTCAGAGCTGAGTCTGAGAGGTGTTCCCAGCTCAGGAGGAGATGCCAAGACAGCCCGCTGAGCTCCTGGAGAGCTCCAGTGGGCCTCACCTTCAGGATCTCTGTTTATAGAGTGGCAGAATGATTGACTATGGTCAGTACTATTTGGTACTTTTCCACTGTAGCCATCAATCTTGTCAGGCTAGCTTGGCTCTTCCAGTTTGGGCTGAGATCTTTCCCTGTCCAGAACATACAGGAGCAACAGATACAGCTGGGGGTGCTGTATCTGGACTGGACATTTTGCTGTCATTTGGGGAATGTGAGGTGATTGTTTTGGTTCCATGTGGGTGCATGAGACAGAAATGCTTTGGCCACCAGGATTTTCCCAGCTGTTCAGCCCATTTTCTGTGCAAAACAACATAGCAGCGTTATGAGGTTCAAGTGGCCTAAAGCTTTGCTTTCCCAGAGGTGGCCCAGGGTGTGGGGGGTCTGTACCACCACACACTTACGTTGTTTCTGTGGGTGATAGCACTCAGGAATACCTTTTAAAATTCTATCAAAAATGGTGGGTTTGAATGTTAAAATATTTTAAACCTCCATAAAAAGCTGGGCTGGTGAAATAAGTCAGTTTCAGTTCTGTTGCAATTTGTGTGGATTTTATTAAAATGCTTGAGGTCAAACCACTCTGTGACTGTCCTTGTAATGTATTCTAGGGGCTTATGTTTGGCTTAGTAAACACAACTGCTTCCAGGTGGCATTTTTATTTTACGTCTTTGTTGCTACTTTAGAAAACTTTCCATTCCATAATGAAGATTGATATTGCTCTTTCAACTGAAATTCTGACTTTGCATTTTCAGAGTCCTGCATTTGACACAACCAGTAGGCTAGAAGTTACAGGTCAAGATAAGTCCAAATCACTGAAGAACGCTTTTCTACACTACTGCAGGTAGAAATTGCACTTGATTTTTGAAGCTTTGCTTGTTTGCTTTTCTTGAAGGCAATCTGAGTATCTCATCATTTGATATGTATGTTATTGGTTCAGATGTTTTCCAGAAAAATAGTGTGAGAAAGTGAAAGGAGAAAATCTTCCACAGAACAGATGTAGCAATGGCCTGTCCAAATGGGCAAGCAGTTGATGCATAGCAAATAATGGAAGGTGGTTTAACAGAAGATTCAGTATATTCCAGCTTTTAAAAGTAAACCTTTGTGCAACTTCTGGATGCACTGCTGGTTTTTATTTCAAGATCTCTTGGTCATATAAACATTCTGAAAGTCTCATGAAAAATATAATTATTTCCAAATCAGATAATACATTGGAATCGCAGTATCCCTTCTCAGAATACCACAACTTTTAGCCACAAAATCAAATCATTGCTTTTTGTGAATATTGCACACTTCTTACGTAGAGTACTTCAGTACAGCTTCGTAACTGGACGTTTTAAGGACTTGGATGCTTCTTATTTACTGACCTAACTAGAATAGGATTCTCTGAAATTATAAGAACTAGGAATAATGCGCTATATTTACTGAAGCATATTCCTGAGAGCTTTTAATCTCTTGACACTTCTGAGTGTTTACATGTACTCTTGGGAGGGTTTTAAAACAAGCAATAGAAATCTGGTGACTTAGCTCCCAGAGATATACAGGCTTAGCTCTGTATGATGAATCTTTTCTCATAAGTAATAATAATGGGGATAATAAAAAGTTACTTAAAACACTTCATGGCTTCTGCTTTTTTGTTTTGTAGACTGTGCAGCCTACTTGCTTTAGAAGAATTGGAATACCTTTTATCTGTCAAATCAGAATACCTTTTATTCATAATTAAACATAGCCCAAGCAATGCTTGATGATTATAAATCTAAAACACTTTACAAAATGCATGTCAGAAAATCCTACTAATTGAGTGTTCTTGTTCTTATAATCTATCTGTTGTTTTTATTTCACATACTTTATATTCCTTTTATTTCAGGAAAGATATAATTAATGCACAAAGCATGGTAGTTCAGCTGTTTGCAAGTAATGCAGACCTGGATTCTGATGCTGAACTGGACAGGGCAGTGACTCAGATCAGTGTGGAGTTGATTGACGATTACCCTGCCTCTGATCCAAGATGGGCTGAATCAGTACCTGAAGGTAAATGTAATGGTGTGAGGGTTTCTTGTTCAGGTTTTTGAGGTTTGATTTTGGTTTGGTTGGGGTGCTTTTGATGACAAACTTTCTTTTGTACTCTAGATAAAAGTATAACTTAAGCTGTGCAAAAAAGGCATAGATGTCCCTTACCCTCCACCACCACAAGATCTATTTCCAGAAGGGCTAAGAGATGCATCCTATGAGACTGCCAGATAAACTTGCAGTCTGCTGTGGTTAGTTCTTGACTCCATATAGTAAACACAAGCCACAAAGACAACATTTTCAAGAAGAATACTTTGTGGAATGGGCAGGTTGTGCCACTTCAGTGTTTCCACAATTCCTTGAATAGACCTAAACTGTTTTCCACTATTTTCCTGTGTGCCAGCCAGTTAGAAATTGTCAGGCATCGGATCCATGGTATTTTCTGAATCAACTTTATTTTTAATTTGGTGGCTTATCTGCATTTATTCCTGTCTAAAGAAAGAAGTGAAAATTGATAGCTTCTTGGAAACAGTTGTGCTGATTTTGCTCATAGTGGTGGTTCTTCTAAGTTTCTATATCCTGGTAGTCTTCGTCTTAAAGCATGCTTAGAATATACATAAATTCTGAAATAGGGAAATAATTTGGGCTTTGGAGAATTCTGCTGAGGTGAGATACTTGTGAGGGTACTCATGAGGAAACTTCCATCATCCTTACTGTCTCCTCTAAGGACCTGATTGTCCAGACAGAAATGTTAGCTGCCTTTTCAGGTGTAAGCTCATGTGGGGAAGAGGAAAAGTAGAGCAGTGCTGGGCAACCACTTCTGTTGTGCACTGGAATTGTGCAGGCAACAGAGAGTCAATTAGGTCTGAATGCCTGTTAACACTTTGCTTACCAGTGGATGTGGTCTAGGGCATAATAAATTCATCAATAGGTAGTCCACAATGAAGATAAAAATTTGAATCTGAATCTTAATAAAACTTGAATAAGCTGGTGAGCTGCTATTTTAGCAGCATAATGAATTAAGTGCTTCAGAATACTTGTACTGGTTGAAGGATACTTGATTTAAAAGGCTTCAGCTGTGATGGATTTCAAAACCCACATTACAAATGGCATGGTAAGCAATATATAAATACGTGTGCATGTATTTTTAACTGTACCTGTACAATAAAACTATAGGAATTTATAGAAATACATTTACCTTGGAGGTAAAAAAGGTAGTTATCAAAGAAATGAAGGTATCAACTGCTCTGATCTAGGATTTTTTTTTTAATCTTTTTAGAAGCAGCTGGTTTCAGCAACACATCTCTCATTCTTCTTCATCAGCTAGAGGATAAGACAAAAGCACATAAATTCTTTATGGAGTTTCTTCATCAGGTAAAATTCTACTGTTCTTTTGGTGTCAGCACACACAGAGGAGTATTGTTTTGTCTTACTGTATCTCCTCTAGAACACTGTTTAAAGTGCATGTGGCATTGTTTTTAAATTCCAACATCAGGTGGGTGTGTTTGAACGGCTGGGCAGCTTCCCAGCACGCGGGCTGCCGATGGCAACTCGGCTGCTGCTCTGCGAGCACGCAGAGAAGCTCGAAGCGGCCATTGTTCTCAAGAACCACCACTCCAGGCTGCCTGATCTAGTGAACGCTGCTATACTGATGGCATTAAACAAAAGGGAGTGTGACATTCCACCAAGTCTTACCCCTGCAGATGTCTTCTTTCGAGAGGTAAGAAACCATATTTCATGTAGTAAAAGTTGCAGTGCTTTAGTGCGTACTTTGAAATTTTTTGCTTTATAGATCAGTTCAGTATTGCACAATTTCCTTTTATAGGGACGTTGTAGTAGCATTTTCCTCACTTTAGCTTGCATACTGCAGATGAAACACGAATTCTGACAAATCTGATGTAGCGGAAGACATATGCTAAATTATAATTTTTCAGGGATAAACTGAAGAGTATGAGGCTTTCCAGATAGGAGAGCTGCTTTGAGCTGTCCAGGACAGAATTGTATCAATTCAGTCTCTTATTACTGTTTGTCCTTTCTAATGTTTGTGAATCCAAGCCAGTTCTGAGTTTATACCATGTTCCAATCAAGCACTTCTTCCTTCTTGAGAAGAACTATACACAAAACATTTGTTCTTTGAAAGTTTGTTTTTGTTTTTTTTTTCCTGTAGAGGACAGTAGGGGCTAATGGAGAAAAATAAATGGAGAAAAGGAAATAGAAATAATAGCCTGCTATTTTCAAGCAGATATGTTATCCAGTATATTTTATCTAACAAAGATTCTGTTGTCAAATGTTTCAGAAGAATACAGAGGAATATTCTTAATGAAAGTTTATGGAATTGCCTTCAAAAATGAGGATTTTTTTTCTTCTTCTGGATTTAAGTCCAGAAAGAAGGAAATTCTTGTATTCTAAGTATTGTATGAAACGTAAGCAGGTGATTTCATTGTCTGTTTGAGTAGTTGATAGCTTTTAGTATTTTTGGTGATTGATCTGGTAATACTTATTATGGTAATCTGCTAATATTTACTTTTCTATACAGCTCTTGTAACTTGGCTTTCAGGTATCAGCTGGTAATGGGTATGTTTGTGTTCAGTGCAGTTTTTCTTTTTATCCTGAAGGTGTCGCAGATAGATTCCATCTTTGAATGCTTACTAGAAGAAGAGGAACAAATCTTGAAAGATATGCCTATTGAATCAACCGAGTGGGCCCAGATAGTTGTCAATGTGAACAACATCATTAAGGTATAAAACTGCATTAAATACCGTGTTTGGGGGAGGTAAATACTGAAGAGCACTCAACAAGTTGAGTGCAGCACGCCTGCGTTACTGACATGAGAGCAAAACTGAACGCGCTTTCCACGCACCCAAATACAGTAAGGAAGGGAAAGACGGTCTTGTGCAGAACTTTTCTTTTCCTCCTGAGCCACTGCTAAAGAGAATTTGAGACGATTCAGCATTGCTGGAAGCTGTGGAAGCATTGAGCACATAGCGAAGAGTGAACTGCTTATGCTTGAGCTGTTTCTTGTGCAGAAACACCAAGGTGTTTTGTGCAGTACGTGAACTTCTGTACAACTGAGAAGGTGGTGTAGAAAGAAGGGGGGATATTAGAAGAATATTTCAGAATTAGAAAAGACAACGTGTTTTATGGTTTGTGTATATGCAGGTAGACTTTAAAATACTTATGTCCTTGCCTTTTTAATAGGACATGCTGCAAGCTGCCATTCGGTATCGTCAGTCTAATGCCTCTTTATATAAAACAGGAGAGCTTCCAGAAAGAGAACCTGAATATATCCCATGGACAGGTGAGAAATTATTATTACTAGCTCATTCATTATCTATCCTAAATAAAAGTACTCATGAATTTCAGTACACAAGAATTTAAATTTCAATGTTAAACACCGAAAAGCTGCAACAATGTTGTCAGTAAAAATAAGGGAAGCTAAAGGTTTTGTTCAGTGAATGAAATGACTCAGTTTTGTCCAGTACTGATGATAATTCATTAAAAATTGCATGGCAAATCTGGCTACCCAAAATTCAGGAATACAAAGCTAATTTTTTCCTTTTTTTGTATGCACTTGTTCTGGTTGACAAACGTATAGGCTACATAACATGAAAATGAAAGATAAAATGTTATCTATCTCTGTTTTAAAAGGACTGATCATTCTCCACTTTCTTAACTGTGTTCCCTTTGTATGGTTTAATAACATGAAAAAGTATCAGAACAAGTCTTTGCAGAATCAAGCACTTTTCACTTGGTGCTTAGGCTTCCTTCTGGCTTCCAAATATGAAAAAAAAAAAACTTATTTAGTGCTCCCAAGATGATAATCTTTTGAAAAGGAGGACCTATGCAAGCCATTTTGGCATGTTATGTATCAGTGACTACATCCAAGTATTTAAATCAGGTTAACAGAGGTTGCCTTTTCTTTGTGTGTATTCTCTGCTTTGCTTACAGATTGTGCAAGTGATGCTTTTCTGAAAAATAGCTGGTATTGATAGTGTAGCTCTGTGTAGTTTAGGAGATGGTTTTGTTTCTGTTCTTCTTCATTTACTACAATTTGGGCAAATTTAATTTTTAAAGGTAGATGAGACTATGTGTCTGTTTGGGCTTGGTTTGTTTTTTATAGTGTTGCTTTGATTTTTAAAATTAAAATTGCTTATTTGCTTTTTTCTTTCTGTTTTTTTTTGGGTTTTGTTTTTTTTTTTTTTAATTATACATAGTAATGTCTTTGTTATACTTCAGCTTAGATTCCTGTGGTGATAGTATTATTGTTCTAATGCTCACTGCGGGTTATTTTTTCCCCCAAGCGTGTAGTGGCCTTCGTACAGCAATAACACGCCAGCATGGAATCATCCTGAAGATGGTGTATCCCCAGGCAGACAGTCGCCTCCGCAGCATTGTGGCTGATCAGCTGGTGGCACTGCTGGATTGTTTTCTAGATGGGTACGTTTCTCAGCTGAAATCTGTGGACCGCCCTGCCGACCAAGAGCGGTACAGCAGCCTGGAAATGGAGTATGTGCAGAGAAGATCAGAGCTCCTCTCTCCTCTCCGTAAGTACCTCGGTTCTCCTCGCTGCGAGGAGTAAATGCTCCCTTCCATGAGGAGAGGATGCAGATCTGGCAGAGTAAATGGCATCTGTTTATCAATTCTATTTGTTCTCCACGGTCGCCCTTGGAGAATATAAATGGCTGTCTTTATGATTTAAGGAGATATTTATAAAGTAAACGCAGATTACAGAATTGCATCCAGGCCTGCATCCATACCTCTAGTAAGATTGGTCACTGCTCGAGTTTTTCTTTTGCTAATTTGTTATAGTTTTCTGGAAGGAATTTGTCCTGTGCTGCCTGGCTGAAAATAGCCTACAATTGGATTTCTAAGTATTTATATCATTGCAAGTTGACTAAAAAAGCTTTTAGACATATAAATTTATGTGTTCATCTGGAAAAAGTTAGTTATTGATTCTTGATGATTTAATAATCAGACCTGTTGTTTAAAGTCTCAGATGTGATCATGTCTTTAACAAATCACTGACAGCAAAGCCCATTTTTTAAGTGGCAATAACCTGGACTAAATACATTTTAGTAATTTTTTTAAAGTTTTTTTTTTTTAGACTAAAAATGAATGATTTAATTATATAGATAGTATCTCATAGTCACTGCCTTGTAGCATTCTTAATAAGTCTTTTAAACTATCATTCTCAGTTTTACTGACATTCATGGGCTCTGTTAGCTTGTTAAATACATCTTACATCATTATAACATGTCATCTCTCTGAAGTTCACATTTCCTTACAAACTAAACTGAGTGTTCTGCTGACTCCTACATATTTATAACTGAACCAAAAGGAAAAAGTTTGAATAACATATTTTTGATACAAACCCTATTGCCATTACTTGTTCTGTTTTTTTTTTTAATCAGAAGCCTTTGCCTGGTGCTTTTATACTTTGTATAATTAAGTGGCTACTATTACAGATATTGTCATGGGTCAAATCTTCCCCCCTCCCAGTGCACGAGTAGCAGATGATGCTAGAGAAAATGGGATGTATACTGGGTATTTAGTATATGTATATTGTGTATTTAGTATTCCAAACTCCTTCCTTCTTGTACTGAGGGACAGAGCTGGCAGGTATATGAACTTGCACGTGCACAGGATATGTATCCTCTAGGAGAATGTTTCTTTGGTCTCTGTTCTCAGTAATCTTCTTGCATCAAACAAGGTCATCGTTGGCTGTACATTCTTTTTCTTGGTTGCTTAGTTTCCCTGGGGCAGTATCAGATGGCGGCTACTTTAGCAGAGAGGTACTGTGACTTTGATATCCTCGTGCAAATGTGTGAGCAGACAGACAACCAGGCCAGATTGCAGCGTTACATGAGTCAGTTTGCAGATCAGGTAACTTTTTTTCTGTTTCCTTTAGATGGTGTTTTCTCATAAGTTCGCACTTGAAATGTTGTAGAAGTTCTGACTTCTTTTTTTTTTTTCCTGTTCTTTTAATGCATATGTATTTACATGTAATGTGGAAAATTGAAGTCAATATTCACAGTGCAGAACTCAATGGAGTATTTTACCCTGAGAGTGCAAAACAAGTCAGCAGAAATACAGATGCTAGCTCTATGAACAGTGGCTTTTCATGGGACCTTTTCCATGCCTCAGAAATTTTGTCTCACTCCTAAGATCTTTGGGCATTTTGTGACATGTTCACTGAGGTGCTGTAGCCAATGTAGTGTTGTTTTATTAAACTGATGTAATATAAATTTAAGGATAATTTCCAAAAGGGATGATGAGATTGTTAAGTATATAAATAGAGAAGAAGTTAAGAAGAGTAGGAAGGTAGGGGTGTTGCTGTGCTCTTTTGTGTTGTTGTCTTGCTAGGGTGGACAATTTTTCCAATGTCTGTTAAAATCTTGTGTAAAACCTTCTAAGTGTTCTGAAAAATTGGAAAGCTTAAGGAAAAGTCAAGAGGGACTATGTGAAGTGGGAGAAACTGGCAGAAAAGGTTCCTAATTTGAGACTGGGTGAGGTGAATTTGTTCAGCTTTCAACAAAAACTATGGAAAGAGAAATCCTGCAGTCTGCAGATTTCCTGACAAAGAGAGTACAGAAAGGTTGTTTTAATAAGAACACCAAAAAATATCAGTAACCAACAGAAATTATAGTGAATGTTTTTAATAGTGAGGCTTAAATACTCACTGCCAAAGAATAGGATAAAGGTAATAGTAAGCACAAGGTACTGAGGGGGGCAAAGGAACAGGTGAAAAAATAAGACAAGAGCTGTGATTGATGTGATACCTGCTTCCATTCTTGTGGGTTAATGTGAAGAATTTGCATTTGGCACTTCCTTCACTTCCAACGGAGGGTGCTGTGTGTATTAGGATATGTTCCAGAGTAGCTCATTAATTCCTTAAACACTGTTTCTCTTGGGGTTCTTAAGGGTTTTTTTCATCAACACTGAATTTTTTGAGTGTGTGTATCTTGTTTTGTTAAGCAAGTTCTTAACATGTTCTTACCAATTGTATTTTATGAAGCATTTTGCCTTAGAAGAAAAATAAGATATTTAAATGTAACTTTAAAAACTTGCTTGTATTCCTGTTATCTTCAGAATTTTTCAGATTTCCTGTTTCGCTGGTATCTGGAGAAAGGAAAGCGAGGGAAGCTGTTCTCTCTGCCTGCTGCTCAGCATGGACAGCTGGCCAGTTTCTTGCAAGCTCATGAGCATCTGAGCTGGTTACATGACATCAACAGTCAGGATTTGCAAAAGGTAGGGTTTCCTAAATACAACCAAACTGCAGTATCACATGTTAAACAGGTCAAGTACATATTCAAGGAGGCAAATTATCTACTTATGACTCTTCATCATCAAAAGACAGCTTCTCTGGGTGAGTGGTGGGAGAGATGACACAGATGATCAGTGGAATACCAAAAGCTGCTCTCTGGGCACTGTCTGTTACATCATGTAAGCCACTGCTCTGGGGAATGGAAATTAGGGCTGCTTGGCATCCTGGGTTGGTGACTAATAGCTTTTATCTGGGAAGATTTGTCTGGCTACATAATCAATACCTCGATGGAACTGTGTGCTTACAGTGACTATCAATAGTATTCTCAGATTATCCAGCAAGGGGAGAAATGAAAATTTATATTTCAAGACTATTTATAATAAAGGAATTTGGAGGTATCCTAAAGGTAAAAAAGATACCAATTACTTTAATCAGTTAATATACAAGTAATTCAGTCTGGACAGTTTATTTCTGAGTAAGTGCTCAGAAACTTTTAGATAGACAAATAAATGCTTGCCTGCGTGTTTGGTTACTGCAGCAGTTACACACAGAATTCTGTTTTTCCAAGTTCCTGAATTAACAAATGAATCCATCTGCATGCAAAATTGTTCTGTCAAAGCCTTGAATAAGATCCCAGAGGTACTATAGGTGAAGTTTCCATTTATCCTTTGATAATAAGACAGTTTTTTCTTGAGTAGTACTGGAAAGATTTTATTTTTTTTAATATAATTGGAGTGGAGGTCAAGAGCTCTTCCTGAAGAAGGCTTTTCAGAGTTTTAATGTGCAAGTTGTATAACTTTTAAAAGTAAAGGCTATAATATTACAAATACTAAATAGCTGTGAGACTGCAGTTCAGATTAAATACTTATCTCTTAACCTTCTGCTGTTAACTTATAAAACTGATTTCTGACATTGTTATTAATTTCAGGCTCACAGAACATTGCAGACTTTAGCAAACATGGAGACCCGATATTTTGCAAAGAAGAAAACCCTTCTTGGCTTGAGCAAATTAGCTGCACTGGCATCTGACTTCTCAGAAGACATACTACAAGAGAAAATAGAAGGTAAGATATAAAAGCTGAGTAAAGTGAAGAACAGACTAATGAAGTTGTTGAATTAAAATCATATTAATTCTTGCAGATTGTTAATTGGTTAGTCTGAAGGCTCTAACATAACGTGGTACGGATAAATGTGGTGATGGGTTTTGCTCATTGCAGGAAGGGTGAGGAAGACAGAGCAAGGCAGTAACTTCAGTATTCACTGTCACCTGTGTGTTAGGACTATGAGCATGGGAAATTTGTACCTTTTCATTTTTTTTTAATCACATGCTAAATATTGGCATAAATAAGCTGCACAGTATTTTAAGTTGTCATCAGACAGTTCCAAAGTGGCTGAAGCTTGGAAACCATTCACACTGAACGTGCTTTCATGAAGCTGCATTTTCTGTTTCAGATGCAAGTTAAAAATTACTTTCTTTCTTAAAGCCTGTTTGAATAGTGCTCAGCCTGGAATTTGTCTCAGGTCCTGAGACTCTTGGGCTGTACAAGGAAATCCAGTAACTATGTTGTATTGTGATCATGTACCTGAAAATGCACACACTGGTGATGAAGAACTGCTTTCCAAGCCTGCTGCTCTCTGTATCTAGCAAGGCACAGGGGCAGTGTTTTGTTATGCTCCAGCTTATGTTATGCTATGCTCCAGGGCGTTACCTGGGAGAGCAGGAACAACCTGTTCCGCATCGTTACCACCCCTCTGCTGTGCCTGGCACTCTGGAAAATCCCCTTTTCCTGGTACTGCTGCTGCAGCCCATGGTGCTGTGAGGTTGTGAAAAGCAGTTCGACACCAACAGTTAAGCTGACACTGGCCACCAGGGGGAAGGTCTGAAATATTACTTCAGCTGCTTTTATAGAAAAGCGAGGAAATCAAAGCTTTATTTCAGTAGGCTAGTGGACTCGCAAAATTTGTTCTGGACTTTGCTCCATGTTTCTATGTGACACGTGACAGAGCTTTTAAAACTTAGGCTCCTTGTGTAGCAGCTTTCTATTGATAATTATTTCTGCCACATTTTGCTTATCCATTTGAACAGAAAAAATGCTCCTTAGAATTATTTTGCCCTTTCTTCCATGCAGTGGAACTGGGTGGGGAGGGCAGGGTTCATATAATGTGGCTGAAATTATTCCCTTTTGATTGTTTCAGCCTAATAAGTTTCTGATCCTGAAACAGATCATGCTGGAAAATAAAGCAATAAAAAAGGAGAAATTAATGCGATGAAGCAGGTCCTTGGCACAGATCAACTAAAACGTAGCTCATAAAAATTACAACCGACTTACTTTCCTACTTAGTGCAGCAGCTTCCCTCCTATCCTATGTGTTCGTTTTGCGGGTTTGAGGGGAAAATGAAGAGTAACCAGTCTGCGTTACACTGGGAACCTGAGTGGAAAGTAAGAACCAGTTCACCAGGATGACAGTGTTGAGGTGGAAGTGTTTCTGTGCTTTGAAAATTTGTGACCAAACAGAATGCTTCATGACAAACACTTATAGACCTGAATAATATTGTAACTTGACAGTTATTACTGTGCCACGTAATTTGTCATTACATTTTAATAACATGGAACCTTCATTTCCTTAAATGACTACAAGAAATATCAGAACAGGAACGCTTTCTGTTACATCAGGAGACGCTTCCTGAACAACTGCTGGCAGAGAAACAGTTGAACCTCAACGATATGCCAGTGTTGTCTGTATCTCAGCTCATTGAGGTAAGTATCTCATGTTTCCTTCAGTACACAGGTAAAGTTCCAGTATGAATTCTGCCTCTGTGCAATAAAATGAACCAATTCATATAGCAGATCCCTTAGATGACTTGCCAAGCACCTGAAGATCTGCTATTTGAATTGGCTTATCTTTGCTTAGTTTCTACAAACTTCAGAATGCTAGGTTTGGTTCAAATTTCTTCTTGTGGAATGTGTGCTGCAGGAGAAAAAGCAAGTCAAATCAGTGCCAGAAACTGATTTACTATGCCAGTTTTTGGATGAGACAATTTTTGCCTTCTATTACATTCTCGATAGGTCAGAACTTGGAAGGCAGAAGAAACAAAGAATTCCATCTTAGTGGGGAAGGATTCTGCAATCTGGAAAAAGAAAGGGCCAGAAGCTAGAAGAGGCTTTTGGTCACCTGTTGTAAAAAGGCACCCAAAGTCTTTCTACACTTTTTTTTTTTTCCTTTCCCCAAAATTCAACCCATAGTGAAACAAAGCCATGAACTGCTCCAGTACTGGGGTCATTAATAGTGCCGAGTCCTTTTCCACACCCCTTTCTGGTGGTAGCCAGGAACCAGGAACCTTATCCTGTCTGCCTTCTGCCTTGTTCACAGCACATTTGTACCATCCGGTGATGCACACACAATACTCAGTGGCTGACAATGATACATAGTCAAACAAATCAGGTCGTGTCTAGGTGTCAGTTTTGCAATTCCTGACTTTCCTGTAATCCTGTGGATAATCAGAAGCTGATAGTGTTCTGTAGATTCTCCTAATTTTCTTAGAGCAACACCAATAGCAGATCCTGCACTCATTACCCGTGTCTTTAAGTGAGGCTGTCTGTGGGAGCAGGGAAGAGCAGGAAGTGTCACTCAGGACTTGGCAAGCGCTGGCATCGTGACAGTTTTCCTTCTGAATTTTCTGTATTGTCAAACCAATGTCCATACTTGCTACTGGCAATGTGAAAATGAAACTCTGAAAGTGTAAACAAAAAGAGCATTAATGTTAATTTTCCTTTGAAGTACTAATTTAGAACCAGAGGGGAGGACATGATGAAATATTGATAGCAAACTTTTCTGTTTTTAAAAGGTGAAAGGCAGTACTTGTGCTTAAGTACTGCTTTGAGCTTAATTACCAAAATAATTCTGAGAGCTTATTTGTGGAGCTGAGCTCTGGCTACAATAGTCCAGGAATGTTACAGCCTTAAATGGCATTTAAATTTGAAACCTAGCAGCTTTATAGCCAATATCATTTGTCCACAGACCATTGTCATGTAGGTGGAATGCTGCTCTAAAACCTTAAGTATATTCCTTACTATAAAAATACTTGCGGTTGAATCAAGACATATTTTCATGAGGAGGTCATGTAAGTGGAAAATACATGGTGGTCTTCCCACAATGAGTTGTCCACGATATCAGTTACATTAGTTTGTAGGCTAAAAATAATTCTCTATGTTAATCTCTCATATCCTAGATGTACATATGTGATGAGAACAGAAGGGCCAATGAGTATGACTTCAAGAAAGCACTTGACCTGCTGGAATATATTGACGAGGTAGGAAAAGTTTTGGAAGGATTTCTAACTTGGAGAGTTTTAAAAAATGTGTTTATTATTAAGCTAGGATGGTGCTGTAGTTAATTACTGTACCCTAAGCTAATACATGAACTAAAAATATCCCCTGATGTGTGTTTTCAGTTTGTTTTTAAGTCACTGGAGATTTAATACCAAATACAGTTTAGATCATTTAAGAAAAATCACACTCCTCTTCTTCACTTCCCATTTATAGTCTATAATTTTTTTTCAGAGCCTTGCTTCCCCTACAGGCTTTCTCCAAACAGGATGAAGATCGTCTATTTTCAGTAGTTTACTTCTTGTCTTCCCTAATGCCAGTTTCTCTGATTATCTTAAGATAATGTGGGATAGTCACCAGGTTTTTAACATGTAAATAACACTGAACCCCAGATTTGCTCTCTGCTGTCTCACTGCATGTCTTGTGTGATCTAGTAGCTTATCAGGAGTAATTCTTTACAAACAAGCATGAATAAATCTTCTGAAGAGCATGAAACCTGAATAAACACCAGTCTTTGCTAAAAAGCTAAAGTTGTGTTATTTAAAACAAACAATTCCTTGCCACTTGAAAATGAGATCTCTTTTCAGATTTTTCCCCAATTCCTCCTAGTCTGGGTAGGGCTTCAAGTTAAAATCGTCTCTGTAGCAGTGCTTTGTAAACATCATTGTGCCACTTGTTCTTCAGTAACTTTGATTTGATAAATATAAGTATCTCTAAATGGGTTTTCAAATCTTTAAATTATTTTAGGTTGTATTTAATTGCATTTCTACTATCAAATTTTCAATAACATTACTTTTAACTACTAATTTTTTTGCTTTATGTATGAATATGTTTACTTTTCCAGTGTTTAGTACTATATTCTATTTTGTGTATCAGGAAAGAGTATTACTGCTTAGAGTAGCAATTACTCTGAGTAAGTTCTCTTGAGTTTAAAAAGAGTATTTGGTGGGTTTTTTTTCCCTGCTTTCCCCCTTCACTTTTATAAAATAAATAGTCCAAATAATAATATTTTGCAGTAAAATAAATGAATGAACTTATTTGGTTGTCTTTTAAATTAGTTGTCCTCTTAAATTCTATGAACAGTGTTCATGAGCACTGAGACAACCATAGTGGGGTTTGACATCTAAATAAAATAAATGTCACTCTAAAAACATGAGAATTTTTTTTTCTTTATAAAACAATAATAAAACTTCCAACTTACCTCTCTTTTCTCCTTATACGAATTGAAGGAAGAGGAAGTGGATGTAAACAATCTTAAACTTAAAATTCTTTGCAAGGCTCTCCAAAGAGATGGGTAAGTCCAATATAAATACAAATTACTGAGAATACCTGTGACACAGCTTCTCCAGAATTATATATTAGTATACTGTTTTCTAGCTCACTGCGAAGACTGAATTTCGTAGTATAGTTTTAGTAAAGTATAAAGAATGTGATCTGAATGTGTCTTTATAAAATGAAACAACTAAAAAAAAATCTGTAGTGCTTTGTTTGCTTAGCTCACTGACTGCCAACCTACTATAGCCATTCATTTTTCATTCTTGAACCTTGTGCTAAGGTAAAAGAAAAGGCCAATGCTGAAACTTTTTTTTCCCCTTTGAAATATCAAGATAGAAGCTTTTTAGAAGCAACATGTGCACAGGTCACTCCTGCAAACTTTTATTTCACTTACCTTTGGCCATTGAGCCATATTGACAAGTTTGTGACTTTTTTTGAGTTAAAGCTGCATTCTTGACCAAGTGGTCAAAGCCTTAAATGCTGCCTAAGAGCCACTTGTGCATGGTCAACACCAAACAGGGGCTGAATCCAATTAGCCAGAAGAATCTTCTCATCAAGCAGTGTTGCCGTTCTTTCCCAAGTTAAATAATTTGAGTGACATTTCCTCCCTTTCCTTTCTAATTTTCAGAAGCTGTCTAGCTTTTCTAACTCACATCCATGTTCCAAGAGGACCTAAGGAAGAAAAGATAGGGAGAGAATGAATGCATTCTGAATGCACTGTGCCATTTGTGATTCAAGTGGGGATGAGCAGCATTTGGTATCACACTCACAGGATAGATTCCGAAGAACAGGAGCCTGTAGAAAATAAATTCCTAGTTGCTTGACTAAGTTTCTGTCACTTATGACACAAATAGTATGCAGAAATAGTTTCACGCTATTCCAGGTGTTTTCTTCCTATTATTATCAAGACAGGAGAATCCAGAACTCCTACATAGCAGTACTCCAATGATTGGTTTATGTCCTGTCTACCCTGGTCCCAGAACAGTTTTTGGACATAACATTTAAAGTCGTATGTAATGCTGACAAGATTTTGGCCACTCTGTTAGTTAACCAGGTGCAATTTGAGACCACTTTGCACTGAATAGTTTTTGGTAAGCCTGATGTCCCGGCCGAGTTTCCAGTCCAGCAAGGCTTACAAAGAGTGAGCCTGGCTGCGCGTGCTCCTGACGTTCTGGCAGGGTCCTCACCATTCTTCTCTGTACCTGAGCGATTCATTTCCCTAGGTCCCCCTGTCCCTTCCCTCCTTCCTTCCTTCCTTCACATTCTTCCCCGCAGAATTAAAGTCATACCACTTACAGAATCACAGAATGGTTTTGGTTGGAAGGGACATTGGAGATTGAGTCCAACTGTTAGGCCAGCACTGCCAGGTCACCACTAAACCATGTCCCTCAGCACCACACATACATGTCTTTTAAATGCCTCCAGGGATGGTGACTCAGCCGCTTCCCTGGGCAGCCTGGTGCAATGCTTGACAACCCGTTCTATGAAGAAATTTGAATGTGTTATTTTTATATTTCTGTACGAACATGTATTAATCCTCTTTGATAATTTATCTAATTTCCTGAATAATTTCCCCTGTTAGTTTTCATTTGCTTTCCTTCATGCAATTCTTTACATGAATTATTCTTTGACTTGCAGGTGGTTCAGTTTGGATGGTAAAGATGATCCAATTGAAGCATCTAAAGATAGTATATTTGTGAAAATACTACAAAAACTATTGAAAGAAGGTAAAGTGTGTTTAAGTGTAATTGAGCTGCTTGAAATTCACTTGTTTCAAAAGCTGCTTATAATGAACACTAATATGTAAGAAGTAGCATTAATAAGTTCTCAGAGTAATAAAAACTTCCATATGCATTCCAATAGATAATTGCAGTCCTATGGAGCTAATCCTGTCCCTTATAAAGGGAGGGGATCAGAGATGTGCAGTTTTCTTGGTTATAATCTTAGTATCCTCAAAACTGTAGGTAAAACTGACCATGGGAAGTTATGGCCATGGAAGTTACAGCAGGGGGTTGGGGGGGAGGGGGGAGCAATTTAGAGTCAAGGTCCATTTTAAATATTACTGCATATGAACCTTTTCCAGAACAGAGAAGGACCCATGTCAAAAATACAAAAATTAAGCTCTTCAGAACAGTTCTAGTTTGGTGTGTAAAACTCTCTCTGTTTCTTTTCCTTTTTTCCTCACACCCCAAACCAAAATATTGCAACTGATGATAGAAATATTTATTTTATGACTGATCTTTTTCTTCTTTTCTTTTTTTTTTTTTATTTTGGTGACATGTTAGGTATGACTTGGATTTTAGGTTTAACCATAGATTCACTGCAAAACTCGGTTTGGATAGGAAATACCTTTTTTGAATCTGTTTTACAGGCTACTTAAGCTTTATTGTATTTCTTAACATGTGTAATAGAATTAGATCATCTCGGTTCCAAAAGAGTAATTTAACTCTGAGGCAGGCACAGGTGTTTACTTACAAATTATCTGAACTGCTAATCTGAAGTACTTTTGTCAGTGCCGTAATAAAAGGTTTTGTGTTGTAGGAGTTCAGTTAAGTGAATATTTGCCAGAGGTGAAGGACTTGCTACAAGCAAATGAACTCGGCAACTTGAAACACAACGCTTGCTTCGCATTTGTGTTAAAGGCAAACTATGAGCTCTACGTTCAGGGACAAGCGTGATTCTCACTGTTTTTTAAAGTATTTTTTTCTAAAGAACTGTTAAATTCATGTATACTTTTTTTACCTTCTGTTCAGGTTTTTGCTAAAACTTTGTAATAAAATCTGTATGAGTAATGTACTTGGTCTTAAATTTCTAGACATTGACACTTGAGTCAGGGGAGGCAGAGACATGTTTCCAGGCAAAAGAAAAATAAAGTTTTCATTTTCTGTGCCTTTTGTAAACTTGCTGTTTTGTTTTATATCTTCATGAGTGTGAGTCCTACCCGAAGCTCAAAGATAACGCAGACACATGGGGTGAAATGTTGGGACCCTCTGCAGAAGGTGGAAACTTCAGCTCTCACTTCACTGGGGCTGTGATTTCAGCTCAGAGAACATACTGGAATCATGAATGCTGGGTGGCTGGGTAGCTTACTTAAGAAACAAACAATTATTCTAGTTTACTCTTTTACACTTTTTGTTGTAGAAACTAGGTAACTTCAATTCTGCATTAAAGATAACTGGCACAAAAAAACGGTAACTGGCTTGTCACTAGTCACACAGCTTGTTTGTGACAGGAATAAAGCACAGTTCTCATTCAGACTCTGGTCCAGTAGATACACCTTTATTTCAGTTTACATCTGTAAGATTAAACTTTTTTAAAACATTGTAATATTTCATCTATTTCACTTTCATTGAAGTTGCATCTGGATTTTTAGGATGCATGTAAATATGAGATGAAGAGCTCACCCTGCAGTCATTCACAGCAACCTCTTGAACCTAGAAAGCAGTTACAAAAGTGTGGGAGTCCCCCACTATCTCCCGTACTCTGTGACTTGTTCTACTGGTTGATGCTACTAATTTCTTTTTGTTTTTTTCTTTTTACACCACTGCCCCAGTTAGTTCTCCCTGACATTGGAACAAAGAAATCCATTTATCTTTTCACTTTTAATTATTCCGATTGGCAGGAGATTTTAATCTTTACATAAAAGCCACTTCAGTCTGAGACACTGCACTTTACTTTTGCAAGTAGCTCAACAGCCAGAGAGTGAATGCAGAGCAACTTGCATGCCCTTATGTTTTACTTGTCTGGCTGGATGCCTGCTGCAACAACTTGATCCAACAGCTGAGAAGGTCAGAAGTTAAATTGGTTGAAGAGAATCCAGTTTCTAGTTTTAAAAGCACAGCTCCCCTTCCCGTGGCTTCCCCTCCTCCCTGGACTAATACAGTAAGCTGGGCCGAGAGTCTGAACATGTTTGGAAGAATAGATTTATCTAGAGAGGTTCTAACTAATATGGGAAAGAAATGCACTAGCAGTCATCTTCTAAGATGGTTCTAAAAAGAGAACTTTGCTCTCTGCAGCCTTGCATGGCTGAGAAAGGAGTCCAGGTATAACTCCCAGCTGTGGCTTCAAAGGAGTGTGTTGTTTAAAGCCTTAGAAGCTTACTTAAATGTCACTTTAGAGGTGCTTTCACGTTATTGATAATATTCTGGGAGAAAGGGAATAATCCAGCAAATGAGTGCCACCTCCCACTGAAGTAGGTTCTACCTGAACTTTTACTAGACTCTTAAATTTTTCTTGAAGAGGAATCTCTCTAATTGACTGTCTACAGTAGAACGCTTCAGGGATATCTCATTGCTTCCTAGACTGTCAACCACCTGTACTCTGCCAGGAGTGGCAGGGAAAGCTTGCTCCAGGGGCCCGTGTTTCTGTTCATCCATGGCCATCCCTCTGTTTCTAGAGTGCCTGGCTTCTCTGCTGGGATGGGTTTATTCTGGCTGCTGTCAAAAGAATTCTGCAGGTCCTCAGGAACCGATCAGCCACATAGGCTTCACAACTCGTGTTTAATTCTATTGCTGGGTTGGGAGGCATTTGGCATTTGTACAACGGCTTTCCATCCGACTATTGCCAAAACAGAAGGCTACAGGCAATGAGTTTACTTAAATAAAAGCTCATTAAAATAACTTTCATGTCTAAACTGAAGTTTAATGTTCTTGTAGCAGGAGCGTTGAGCTGGTTGACTATTCTGTTGGGAAGCTTCAAGAGGCTGTTCCTCCTCTCTGTCCTCTGTTTCATTATGTAATAAGCTGTTCTGGTGCAGAACTCCTGTCTCGGATTACTCTACCGGGAGGATGCCTTCATTTACCACTGCATATCAAAGGTCATGCCAGAGCCCTCAGTTGTTTCCAAGTGTAACAAAAACAAACAAATTTGGGGCAAAAAGATTCGGGTTTTGGTTAAAACGGCTTAAGAAGTATAGCTAGCTCCTTTTGAATAAGGAAGTATACATTGTTTCCTCAGCTAGTTGTGTTCTCAAGAATGGAAAATAGGCATAGTACAGGATGTCCACATTTCTATCCTGTTGTCACCCAGGGCAGCAGGAAAGTTTATCAGTTGTCACTTGTGATCAATTTCGGAAGCCATGCATTGTGAATAGGGATCACCTCTGTGCCCAGCTCTGTTCTGGAAACTAACTTCAAATGTTTTCTGACTTGGGACCAAAACAAAATTGATTTAGTGAGTCCACTTAAATATCAGATCTACCTGCAAGATGTGATCTTTTACACAGAACTATAAGAATGTAATGTTGCCATGAGGTGATTTGCTATAAACTAAACTGAGGTAGAGAGAAAAGCAGACTGAAGGGGTAGAGTGGGTTTATGCTTGTATTAGGTTTCACTGGAGGATTAAGAATGTTTATCTTTCAGCGACATTAGGGTTTCTGTTACAGGATTTCTGATTCAACACAACTGACCATATTTTGGAAACCACAACAGAGCGTTACAGTTCTGTAAATAGACTTGACGGCTGTGATGCCTTTAAGTGCTTACGGGCTTCCGATATTTGTACTGCCAGTTGTCCATGACAGAACTGAGGAATAACACAAGAAGTTGCAAGAACAGTATGAGAGAATAGCGTGCTTTATCCCCAGTGTACTTTAATACAGTAATTTGACAGGAATTGAAGATCTATAGCAGAATGAATAGAGAGCTGCCAGAAGTAAAGAGGAATGCTGCCAAACTGCAGGATGCAGAAATTAAATAGAAGAGAAGCAAAGCTGTCTGCTTCTCTGTTGTTTTGTCTGCTCTGCCTTGCAGTGGAGGAAATCGGCTGCAGAAATGCCTTCACTTGCAGGAGACTCCTCACGGCATGAGTGCTTCTGGCTTACTATTTCTTCTTTCTCCTCTTCCAATTCCCTAAATTTTAAGAGGATTTACCCTTAGCCAGTTGATCCTTCAGAGAGGGCCTTGAAGGTTGACTTGCAATGGCTCATTGGCAGGGCTGCAAATCAGCTTGTGTTACTGCTGGTTCTTCCCACTGGCGACCCAAATTTCTGTATAAAATCTTCCAAGTGTCCCAGGTGGAGTCTGCTTAAACATCCACAGCTGAAGGAGGTAACTGTTCCTCTTCACTTGCACAGTACCTTCAGCTCGTCAGAGATGACTTGCCCATGAGGCTGCAGCCCTTTTGGAGGGGGTGAGCCGCAGGCATAGCTGGAGGATGCCCTGTTGCCTGGCTGAGCTCACCGGCCAGCGATGGGTCTCACTCAGTGAGAGTACCGGCATTCACAGCGACGTTGGTCACTGGCATTAACGCTTCTCTTCAGACGCTCCTCTATCAGACGTTATCCCCTGCATTTATTTTCCGTTTATAAATCGCGGCAAAGAAAAGCCGCCCGGCTTAGCTCGGCATGTACGGCTGTGCCTTTGACACAGGCAGTCGCCACGCACAATGGCGCCGTGTCTGCGCCAGGGCTGCAGCCGGCCGCTCGC